TGCGATCCTTTGTGCACTAGGGGCCTTTATCCATCCAATCCTTGGTTCGTAGTAAGCAATTATCCTGTCTTTTTGGAGATTCTTATCTTCGGTAATCCTGTCACCGGGCTCGATAGGTGGGTCAATTTCGCGAGTGGCGCCCGCGTCAGAAGTGAGGTTCGTTCCAGAGTAGTCCGCGTCGTACCCCGGAGGAGCCGCTGCCGTGGGATCCACAGCTTCGGCCAAGTCCTCAGCTCCATCATATTCTGGCTGGTCGTCATCTTCTTGTTTGGACGAAGAGGGTTTCCCAGCATGCCATTCACGATCGAATACCTTCAAGTAGTGAGCACGTGAAAGGTTCCCCCGCATAACCTTGGCACTGGGTTTTTCATGATCTTCAGCTGCCTTGCAAGCCAGGCGCGCCAACTGGTCTCTGCGCGCAGTCTTGTTCGGATCGGTGAAATGACCGCGATCATCACCATGAGACCAGACCCATAGTGTCTCGCGGAAGTTGGGGCCCCTTGAGGGGCGCCTCATGGGGCAGCCAGGTCTGTCGGCATGCACACAACAAAAACAAACAACACCTCGGTAACGTCTCCGTTCTTCCATGATGGCCCTCTTCTTGTCCCACTTTACGAGGGCTTCTTGTGCGTTGACAGCCCCTGTCCTTCTTGAGGGAATGACTTTGCCTTCGTCCTCTCGTTCAACGTTGCGCAGCGAGTACCAGTGACGGATCTGGCATTCGGCCCGACCTCGGCCCTGGCACCATCGCATCGCATCAGGAGGCACGCGTTGGCGAGCCACCCCAGCACCCTCGCAGTTGACAAGGCGCTGCATCTCGCCTTCTGAGCATTCTCATGGAGGATATTCCCTCTGAGGCGGATGTCCCCGCAAGCGCTCCTTCCTCGGTGGGGTGTCAGGTCTATTGCCCCTCCTCGGTGGAGTCCTCGGGGCCCCCGTATCAGGAGGGCGAGGGCGCTGTAGGCCGCTAGAGCGAGCACCGCTGGAGCGCGCGCGCGAGTGCTCGCGCGAATAACTGCGGACCCGACCGCGACGTAACAGACGCGGGCCCATTTCTCACTCTTCGTCATCATCGTCCGCGCGGTACGCGCATCTCCAGGCTCGACGGCCTGCCGATCGCCCCTGGCGGCTCAGGGAACGCTCCGCGGCTACGAATGCATATTAAATTCCTTCGTCGTGGCCGAGTTCGCACTGGGTGCGCTCTGACAGATCACCAGCATCTCGCGGGTTCCCCCGCAAAGGATCGTCATCATACACTTCCATGTTTGTCGGGTTCCCAATCACCCGAGGATCACGCATAAATTGCATTCCCCCTTCCATCGCAGGAACCGTGGCTTCTGAATTCGCGGGTGCCCCCGCCAGTTCATGATCTGCCTCGGCGGGCACATAGAAAGTCTCGACCAATCCGACTTCGGCAGGTTGCCCCGCGATGGGCATGCCCAGGCTGTCTGCCGGGCTGATATCATCGTGGCCAGCGACGATCTCCTCGAACAGCTCGCTGGCGCAATTCTCGAAGGACATACTGGCACTCAAACATCTGGCAGCCATGAAGTTAACAACTGTAACTGAGCTGTCGGCAGGGTCGGCTAAAAGTGCCTCCCAGTCAACATACTGTATGTCCGAATCAGTTCGAGCCAAATGTATCGACGGGCCTATGCTTCTCCTATCGCCCAGAGGGCATTCACGGCGAAAATATTGCGTCCTATGGCAGATACCTCATTCATTGTTTCGCCGTCAGCACCCTTCGGGTTGCCCCGGCGCCCCTTGCCCTTTCCTGTAGCGCGCCTACGGTTCCTACCTGCACCAAGGACCAACTCTTCGTATTGCGGATCAGTAAGGGATGCCAAGAAAGCTAACATACCTTTGCCATGTAGTCGCCGTCGTTTGCCCTTGCCCTTCCCTCGACCTCATACCCTTTCCCCTGAGTGCCCGTCGGATAGTACGTCGTACCTTACGAACTGGCTTCTTAATAAATCGTCTCAACCTGCGTTTATGTTTATGATATCCTAAGAATAGCCATTGTGCCTGTTGTTCTTCCGTAAGATACGTGGGCATGTCGGAGTAGTCTAGGACATTCGCCTCGTCGTCTGAAGACGCGTCGGCGTCGGTTCCAGAGTCGAAGTCGGACTCAGCGGGCTGCCCCGCTGGGCCCGAAACCTAGCCCAGGAGTCTTGCAAACCCGAGGCCGAACCACCATTTTGAGTTAATAGTGTGGCGGTATCCGTCGGTTGTGGAGCGTCGTTCCAGACGTTGGCAGCAGGCTGCCCTGCGTTAGCTTCAACATGAAAGGTCTGTGCACGGTGACCGTGGCTGAAGAAACCACTAATATTACCAAGGGTCCGCTCAGCAATGTGGGCACATGATCTCATGCGTTCAAACAGAGGATCAATTTGCTGCTTGCCCCTCGGCATGCGGTGGTTAAGCGGCTGCAGAAAATGTCGTGCACGCGGCGCCCCCACTTCTAAGGCTCTGAACAGAATAACCGTTAGAATTTGAAAGTTGAGGTTGCTGAAGCCTGCCGCTTCAGCTTCATAGCGGGCTATCTCGAAGCGTGCCCGAGTCCAGTCGATGCGTTCCCCCGCATGGACTCGGAAGTCAATGAGAGCTGTGCCAGAGTTGAGTTGGCGTTCCTCTTCTAGGTTCTCGAACTTCGTGCTTAAGAGGAACATGAAGTAGATGGCACCATCGGCATGGCGGCCACCTATATTAAAGCCGAAATTCATAACTGCCGGGGGAACTCTCACGGCTATGGTCCGTGCGAGGCCCCCCGAACCTCGCTGCAGTGCTGCGGCTTGTTGGGAGGGCGCCATAGCGACTCTGGTCGCGTTGATCCAGGCATGCACCTCGCGAGCGAATTCGCGGAAAGGTACTTGACCGCCCAGGCCCCAGCGGTAGCCGGTTGTTCTTGAGTCGTCTCCGCCACGCATGCGCCCCACCGCACACCCGATAGCAACGCATATGGGCCCAAAGATAGCTATGCCAATCCAGTGGCCTCGTAGGTCGTAGTCAGATGTGGTTGGTTGGGGGTCGTGGTGTATTGCCGTGAGCCTGCGCGGGGGTGGAGGCGGCACAATGTCGCATCGCACGTTTGCACGCATTTTGTCTTCGAAGAAGTTTCCAATTGGAGCAGGTGGGTGGACGTCAGGAGTGTAGTAGCGCAAGGACGCAGGACTCGAGTAAGAGGCCTCTGCGAGGGCAGAGGTAACACTGCAAGTGTCCTTGCGGATGTGCATATTTATGCACATTCCTCCGCGCAGAACCACTGCACCCTGATGTTCCATCATGTCAGTTGTCCACCAGATAGTGCCGTGGATGGTGAGAAGTAAAGCTAGAGCTGACCACCATAGGTAAGCTCCGCTACCAAGTTTGAAGGAGGCGGGTAGGCCCGACCAGAAGCTACGCGCTAGGCCAAGCACAGCTCCTGCCCTGCTGCACCGTTGTAACGATAGCCCCAGCAGTAGGAAATCGTCGCGGGATCGACGAGCCATCTCAAGCAAGGATGTTTTGGTCTCGATGGCTAGCGGCACACCTCGCACTGAGGTGTAATCAGATCTGGGCGGCGGGCCGCTTGAGCACAAACGGCCTTGGACACACGCTCGTTGCCTCTCGCCTGCATCGCAGCTCACTGTAAAGTCAAGACAACTCAAGAGAGCCTCCCAAGAGGGCTCAAGAGGGAGCCGAAAATCAGAGGCCTTCCGCCTCAACGTAAGTTTCCATTGCGGCGACGCCCGACAACGATGCCACCCCAAGAGGGAAAGACGGCACCCTATCAGCGTTGGGCGCGGCCGCGGCCGGGCGCCCCCCGAGCCGAATAGCCGACCCGCGACGTCGACCGACGCTGGCGGGTGGCGCGTCAGGGCGCTGGCCGAAGCACATGGGTACCATACTCCCCTCGAGGGTGGTGGGAGGGAGAAAACGAAACCGGGACCGCGGACGCGTCCGCCGCACTATGGCGAACGGACACGCCGCGAGTCGCCGAGAGGACACCCTGGGCGGACGCCCTACCCCCAGAGTGCCACTATGGGCAGGTGGGGCGCCACACGCATGACCGGGAACTTGACATCCCGCCCCGCGGCCAGGCGGCAGAACGGAGACGACGCGACCGCGCGCGGAGGTGAGGAGAGCAGGAGAGGACCCCGACGCACGGCCGCGCGGCATGCGAGCAAGCCCGCGCGGGAGCCAGGCCCGCCCGACGGAACGGCGCGTGGCGGGTGGTCATGCAGCCGCCCGCCGTCGCGCTCTGCGACGCCGGCGGGTCGCTTCGCCCCCTACTGTCGCCTTATGATTTGCAATAACAAGTTATCACTGCCCGAGGTCCCCAGGAGGTCCCAAAAAGGCCCCTCAAAGGTCCCAAGAGACGCCCAAAGACGCCCCAAATCCCCAAGACGCCTCAAAACTGCGTCCAGGAGGCCCCCGAGAGGCCTCGACGAGATCCCAACGAACATCCAAGGAGCCTCAGGCCCTTAGATATAAATATAACGACGCATAGACGTATTAACATACGAATGCAATGCGCAAGCAGTGAGATTATAACAATATGTGCTGCACACACTGAAGCAAACTACTTGGTGTAATGTACGGTGTACAATATACAGCGGTACTAATAGAATGAAGCCGTGTGTATATATATACACACACAACTGATCTGGCCAAACTTTGGGACCGGTGGGGGCCGCTGGGCCCGGAGCGCATCTGGAGGAGGCCCCAGATGGCCCAAAAGACGGGCCCCGGAGCGTGGGCGGAATCGGCGCAGCAGTACATTGCCAGGAAGCTCCGAAGATAAATCTCTCACCCAACTCGATGACTATATAACGCATGAGTCGTCACAGCGTCGCTAGCCGTGCTGAAAGGGGTGGCTCCTGGGGCCACGTGAAACGAATGTAACAGCATGCATATCCCGCACTTGAGCCAAAGCCACAACACAGAGAGGCTTCGGGCAGGTAGTGCTCAGGACTGACTGTTGATAGCTAACACCGGTTATACTCTTCTCAATCCTGAAGCTACATGCACCGAGACCGCATTAGGCTGCGAGTCGAATCAAAAAGAAAGGAATCGTCGCACAACGACTCCAAAGGATCTAAAAAACCTTCGCTGCAGCCACTGTCGGCCTCCTCGGGCGCGCCTGCGAAAGCGCCCTTGCCATCGCGCTGCCTCCGACGTCCACTTTGGAACATCTCGTCAGAAGTACACTTCCAGCGCTGCGTGGCCAAAAACTCTTCCATCACATGTCGAGCCGGATATCCCGGCTCCGTCAGGCTATCTGCTAGCATGGCCAAACCGTTCACCCATCTAAAAGAAACGCCAGTGCGCAAGATCTGTTCCTTGATGCCTCTGGCCTCTTCGCCTGATCTGAAGCTGCGCATGCCCAACTGAGGAGACCCCGACTTCAAAATCGCGTCGTAGATGCCGCGTGAATCTGTGATGAGCATGCCTGGCACGGTCTTGACAGCGTCGTCCAACTTCCAACGAGTCGGTTCGACTCCATGTAATTCTGCCCACATCAGTCGAGATAACCACAAACTCTCGTCGCCGAACGCGGTCGACTGCGTCTCGTTGTTGTTGGAGCCCGAAATCTTGCGAGGTAGCTTGAAGGATCTCCATCCAAGTATCGAAACGTTTGCCACGCTGCCGTTCGCAAAATCCGGAGTCGAGAGGCCTGTCACCAGCCCGCCAGTCTTGCTGCCATCGGGCCTGAGCTTGTCACTAGCCTCCGCCCACTGCACCATCCACAACTCGTGCCAATCGTAGTTCTCGAACTGGTGAAACTTGATCACCTGCGAGGCCGATTTACGCATGTCCTTAACAAGCTTGTTGGCATTCACCAAGTCGCTGATCTTGGCGCTGTTGACTTGAGACAAAGCAAGCCCAACGTCCACCGCATACTGTGGGGACACTTGCTGTGCCCTCCAACTGGCTGCACCCAGTACTCCACGAAGGAGTGAGATCTCTTTCGGCTCGAGTGGTAGATGAGCCTGCTTCTTGCGGTCGGCGTCGATCTCGGCCTCCGTGATAAACTTGTTCGTGTAGTCGTAGAGGTCCAGCGTGATCGAGATATCCTTGAACTGGCGAACGCGTAGTCCACTGAACTCGGCCAGGCCGGAAGTCCATGCGCCCCATCTGTAGAGGTCCCTGATGGCCTTCTCCGCGTCCCCGTACAAGTTCGACGTCTCGTCGCCGCCGATGATGAAGTCATCCACGTGGACGCCGATGATACCCTTCAGCTGGTTGTTGGAATCCAGCAAGATCCACACGCATTGGTCGGTACGTAGTTGTCGCCAACCTTGGTCACGAAGTTTGCGTGATATGTCAAGCCACCATGCTCTCGGAGCTGTCGTCAATCCATAGAAAGACTTGACCATCTTCAAGATCTGCGAAGGACGCCCCAGCTCATCAGGAAAAGCATGAACCACTTCCGGAGGAACCTTCACATTCAGACTCTCGAACTCCTCGCTCGCTTCGGTCTGGAGAAAAGCTGAGCTGACGTCGCCGAACTTGAGCTTGAACTTGTGCTGCGCGCACACCTGGAGCAGCATGTTGCGAGCCGGCTTCCCCAGCGTAGGCGCCGCCGTAGAGAGCTCCGTCAGACTCGGGCGCTGGTAGCCCAGAATGACTAACCGAGCCTTCGGCTTGCGTGCGCCACCCTCCTGGTACTTGTAGGTGAGGACCCAGCGCATCTTGAGCAATCGCGACTCGTCGATCTCGGCGAGCTCCTCCTGGGCGATGCGCTTCAAGACCTTGGTCGCAATGACCTGGCTGATATCCTTGCACATCGCTTCGTCAAACTCGAGCTGCTGCCCTGGCGCCAGCTTGGAGTAGGTGACCTCTGTCGCCTTGCCGTCGCCAAGCCTCTTGCCAGATCGTAGAGTCTTGAAAGAAGGCTCCAATGTGAGTGAAATCGGTCGCGACCTCGATCACTTCGCGCTCGAGGGTCGTGTCCTTCAGGTAGGCCACGGACTGGTTGTTGAAGTTGCCCCAGGCCTCCAGGTACTTGACCTCGTCCTCGAAGTCGCGCGTCATGAAATCCATCTCTCCGAGCTTGATGTGCTTGGTCTCTGGCTCCTCTATGTCACGTTCATGTGCTTCACTAGTGGGGGCCTCCCCGGCAGGGCCCTGGTTCCCCGCGTAACCCTCTGCGACCGGCCCGTCCGCAGAGTCGGGTCCCACCCCAAGAGGCTCTGCCGGGCTACCGTCTCGGGGAACTACCGCGGCTTCATCGCCAATCAGAGCACCTGCAGGGCCACTGGTGATTTCCTCTGGTGCCGCCGACGTCGCTTCTGGCCCATAAGGCGCGTCGTAGGGAGATGCCTTGTGCCTCAACCGGACCCGCCTGATCGGCTTCCAGCCCTGATCACCTGTGACTTGGACCCTTTGGTGAAGATCTCGGCCTGGTCCATCATCATCCTCTGGAACTGGTACTCGAGACAAATCTGGAGGAACATCTCGAGGAACTGGATGAAGGTTTGCACCGTCGTCTCCAGCCTGAGCACCATCATGAAATTCACGCCGATCTCCTTGGAGAAAATCTTCACCTGGTCCTGGTTGCTCTGGTAGGTCTGAAAGGCCCTCGGCAATCTCGCGCTCCGAAGGTAGGTCGCCTGCCAAATCGGTAGACTCACCGCGCCCAGCACCTTGAAAGACATTGGAGGCGTTGGTCGGCGAGCCCCTGTCGATGTTACCCTTGAGCGATGCTACGACCACCTCACGCTGACTGCTCGACCTCAGCTGTGTCGGATGACACCGAATAAGCCTCGTGCCATGCACGATCCACGCCACCGAAATCTCGTCTTCGATCGAAGCGGACTCGTCGGCACGTTCACGCTGGAGGTTGACCTTCAGCTCGATGGCCAGAACTCTCGCAGGTCCGAACCACGAACCTCGAGCTCCAGTGTTCTTACCACGGCGGAAGTACATGATCCAGTCGCCGATCTTGATCGAGAGAAGCTTCTGCCTCATGGAGTGCCGAAGCCGAATCGCCACTGAACGAGCCTGCTCCTCCAGGTAGACCCGCTCTGCCAAAAGACGATGAGTTTCGGTGTGTGCCAAGCCGCCCCCATCCAGGCGACCAGCCTCCTCCGCGAACTGGTAGCCCTGGTGGTTGGTACCGTGCGCCCACTGGACTGGTGCGCAGCCCGACGCCTTGTGCTGGTTGTTGTGAGCGGCGCAGGCCAGCGACACACAGTCGGCCAACGATAGCGTCGGCCCGCCTAAGGAGATGCGCCGAGCGGTCTTCTTGATCTGCCTGATAAGAATCTCCAGGTCGGCCGTCAGACCATGGAACTCGCCCGGGCTCTGGATGATGCCCACGGCGTTCTTGCCACACCACTCGCGCAACTGGTTGCTCACGAAACCGCCGCCCGGGTCCGAGATCAGGAACTGGCACCGCGGCTTGCGCTGCCACCAGCCCTCCAGGAACGCCGACAACACCTGGGCGACAGACGGCTGGAAGTACGCCTTCTTACCCTTGGTATCCACCTCCTTGAGGACACTGCGAACTGCCAACTTGCAGGCCGCGTCCATGTAGAGCACCGCGAACAGCTTCCTGTGGTGCACCTCCAGCTCGAAGCAGTCCAGCTTCACCGTCTGCCACAGCTTTGGTGGCATAGAGAGTGACACCACGGCCTGGCGCTTCGTGTCCTGGGTCTCGGCGCAGGCATCGCAGATCAGCTCGCCCACGAACGCCTGCTGCCAACTTGGACACCCGCGTCTCTGGAGCATCGCCTTCACGTTGGAAAATGTGGAGGCCCATCAACTTGCATCTTCTTGAAATGCATGTCTATGCCCGACTCGATGCCGCGCAACTGCTGCTCGTAGTCCTGCAGCGCGCTCATTGCCCAGAAGTCCTCCGCGAAATCCTGACCGCGCCGGTCCTTGGCGAAACCCTTGACCAATCTCCGAATCATCGGATCCGGATAGTAGGCCGACGCCGCCGCAGCGTCGCGCCCCTCGAGCGTGCTGCGAGGATGGTCTTTCGCACAGCGTAGTGCCATCCACTGCGTGAAGGTCTCGTCACTGGTGAAGATACCCCAAGACTTGCTCCTGAATACGCCATGATCGTCGCGCATGCCGACCTGGCACGCGTCGACCCTGACCACGCGGAGAGATCGTCCGATGATATTCTCCGCCTCGCGCCTGAACCGGCTGAGCTCCGGCGTAGACCAGCCACTGCACTTGCACGGCCACCCCCAGTAGATATCACCATCGCGTCGTAGAGTTTCCAAGGCCATATCCACGCAGTGCCCGTTCATAGCGCGAGCCCGAAGTCGCGATCGGAGGAAATTCCCCCACTTGCCAGGTCGTCGTTTGCGTTCGGGGGTAAGGTTCTGCATCAACGAGAAGTAGGCACATGGCGTCGAAAACCACGCCTTGCGAGGACACGTCGTATTGAACCACTCCTTGGCACGACGAGCGTCGCCCTTCTTGTGGAGGCCGTAGCCCTGCTTCAGGCTGATGCGCTGGCAAATGAAACCCTCATTGATCAGACCGGCTGTCAACCTCGAAGTTGGAGAGCACGCGACTTCGGCGAAGTCCACTCGAATTGCCGAACCTGTCTGCACAAGGCCCAGCATCAGCCCGTTCACGAGCATGCCCAGTGCCGCCATGCCGCTCTGGATCGCGCGGCGCTGCTTGATCGAAACTTGCTTCCCTTCATGTAGACATCCCCCATGCCCCCCGGCACCGGCATCGCCACGAAGTCCTCCTGCTTCACCTCTGGCTTCACCTTCAGGCGCCTGACTCCCCGGGCCAAGACTGCCCACTCGATGAAGAGGTCCCTCTGCTTGGTCGTGAGCGCGGGCGTCTCGTCCAGGTCCGCCGCGGCACTCGAGACCACATCGCACGTGCTGCTGCGGGGCGTTGAATCCGATGCCGCAGAACTTGGGTCCGCTCCGACCGCGCGCACGGTGCGCACCGCAGTCGGCACTCCAGTCGACGGTCTGGCTGCCGCCGATGGCCTCCCTGGATCGATCTTGATCTCGATCTTGACGCCCTCGGTCTCGGTCTTGCGGGCTGTCCAGTAGCCCTCCTTGCCCGGGTCGCTCTTGATGTAGTGCCCCGTATCGATGACGCGCTCCGCCTCGATGGCCTTCATGCGCGCCTCGACCCTCGCGGCCGTCGGGGTGTACCCCGATTCCTGGAGCCGGCGAAGAGCCACCGTCACCAGGGCCGTCTTCGGCTCCTTGCGGCACTTGCCCCTGCACCCTTTCTTCGGAGCGTAGTCCAGCCTGAAGGCGCACCTCTCGCACGTCAGCCACACTCCGAAGCGGTTGTTGGTGTAGCTCGACACGGCATGGGCCCCCCTGGCACGGCCAGCTGGTCATGCGAGGACCCCTCGGATCGGCCCCCTTGCTCAGAGACCAGTCCGTCTGCTCTGCCGCCGCACATGGTAGGTCGGGGTAGAGCCTCTTGTCGCCCATCAGGACGAAGCATGGAGGATTGGAAAGCACTGAGCTGATCTCGAATACCTTGGAGCCGAAATGCCAATGGTGCAGTCGGCGTTGGACGAAACCAGCTTCGGGTACGAATCGCACTGACCCCATCCGGCAATGGGCGATAAAGCCACCTCCCAGAGGTTGCAATCGTCACAGGACCGTCGTCAATAATCACCGAACTGTGCAAACACGTCGCCCTACGCCAGCACATTCCAAAACGTCGAGCATCATTAGGGCGTTCGAAGGTTCTAAATATGTCGAAAACCAGTCTTCCCGAACATATCTGCCAAGTTCTGATTCATCTGGCTCTGGACTGTATCCCGTCACATGGTTTACCATATAAATCTCGTGGTATGGCAGAGTGCAACCCATTTCCAACCGTTGATGTTTAACACTCTGTAACTGTAATCGTACGCCTATCATCAGACCACCCACGCCGATGCCCTGATACTGTACTCCCTCTTTTCTCTGGTCACCTGCGAGTCCCGGGGAGGACGGAATTCCGGTGCGCTGTCCCTAGCTGCCGGCCGAACTCAGGACGTCCAGCAAGCGGTGGCCGCCCTTGCCCTTCCGGAGTTGGACATTCGTGGTCTTGTCATCGCTGAGGTAGGTCTCCAGCTCGTTTCTGCGAAAAGAGACGTCATGCTGATCCAGCCGGTCTACCCCCGCGAGCACCGGCACCTCATCGGCGCCCAGCAAGTAGATGCCCAGCCAGCCGATGGGCGCAAAGAGCCACACCTTGGACAGCGCCTGGCCCCACTGGCCGTTCGCGAACTTGAACCAGGGCCTATCGGACGCGCCCACCTCGATCTTCGCGCCCGGGAACTTCTCGGCGACGGCCGAACCAACTTCTCGACAGCGTCGCAGCCTCCAGCTGTCGTCGCAGCTCCGCAGTCGAGGACAATCTCAGTAGACGACGGGCACGAAAGGGAAAGGATCATGTCCATGCAAAAGGTTCCTCCGATGTAGCGCACCTTGCCCTTCTTGCCCTTGCCCTTGGATACGTAGCCGCCCTTCGCGAAGCTCTTGCCGTTGTTGGAGTAGCGGCCTGGACACTGCCTCCAGTACGTGGTCCGGCCGACCACAGATCAGGCAGCCACGTCCTTGAGGCCCTGCCGATGATCCCTTCACCTGGCAGCCGCCCTTCTTGCCATCCTTGCCGGAGCCCTTCTGCGGAAAGAACCCCCTGTTATTGCGCGCCTCTGCCACAGCGCCCCCGGCCTCGGACAGCGTCCGATTAGCTTCGGTGGCGAGGATCTCGGCCGCATTCACTTGCTCGTCCAGGTACGAGTCGTCCGTCGCATACGTAGTCGAATCCGGTGTCCAGGTCGCTGCTGTTGCCTGGCCCCACTGGTCTGGCGAAGTATTCCATCCGGCATCGCTGTTGGACCAATCCCACGAGCTTGTAGCCCATGTAGTCTGATCCACATCGCCCGCATAGAAAGCACACCACCAGACGACTTCGTTCTCGTCGTAGCTCCAGTCGATTGTCCACGATGACTCTTCACCGCGGATTGCCGCACACATGTCGTCCATCTCCTCCACGCTCTCGAAGGCGAAAACTCTGCCTCGGAAGCCACGACCCTGCTGCTGAGCAGGTTTAACACGGTCTCGGAGGTCGTGGTCATCCCACGACGCGCGAAGCTGCGTAACGAAGGACTCGTATCGAATGTCGTTCTGAGTGCCTGCCAGAATCATCTGGCGCTCTTCCCTGCTCAGGCGCGCATTGTGCAAGAGCCTGTACCCGCGAAGTTCTGCCTCGAAGAAGCTTGCGTCGGTCTCCGACTTGGCGATCGAAAGTCCCGATCGGGCCGACACCACCGACTTCTTCTCGGTCGCGTCCACGGCCTCGGCGTCTTCCTCGACCTCCTCGGCGTCTTCGAACTCCTCGGTCCTTGACCGTTGATGTAGCTGTTCGCCCGGTTCTCGTCATCGCCTGAGCCGCTTCTCGTCGCAATCGGTCTGAGCGTAGTCGCTTCAGGGCCGACCGCATGTCCCTGAACAGGTTGTCTTCTCTAATAACAAACTCGCCAATCACCTCACCGGGCTTGCGAATCACCTGGTCGTAGTTGCGGATCTTTTGGTACGCGTCTGGGATCGGCATCTTGAGGAGCGGACCTTCTCTCAGATGTTTGAGCAACGCTTCCACACCTCCGGACACGAAGTCGTTCGGCCTCATGTCCTTCACTGCCTCCTTAGCTGCACCTCGTAGCGCAGTCCACAGACGAGCCACGGTGAGGTTCATCTCGTTCTCCTTCAGTCCCGCGCGGTACCATAGAGCAGCATTCTCATAACTCTCGAACGTCAGTGGGTCTCCACTCCACGTCGGCACTCCCTGCTCGTCTGTCTCACACCCAGCGGTCGACTTCAGTGTGGGTCTCCACGATGGCTCCGCTGCCATGTTGGCGGAATCGGCGCAGCAGTAGATTGCCAGGAAGTTCCGACGATAAATCTCTCACCCAACTCGATGACTATATAACGTATCAGTCGTCACAGCGTCGCTAGCCGTGCTGAAAGGGGTGGCTCCTGGGGCCACGTGAAACGAATGTAGAAGTATGTATATCGCGCCCTTGAGCCAAAGCCACAACACAGAGAGGCTTCGGGCAGGTAGTGTACAGGACTGACTGTTGATAGCAAACACGGAGGGCCCCAGGAGGCCTCAGGAGGGCCCGACGAGCACCCCCAAGACGAGCCCAAGAAGGGGGGAAGGCTTCTTAGATGAGGGTTGCTTCTGAGAAGCCTACCCCCCGTCCCCTACCCCCTCTGCGCGTTGGCCGAGAAGGCTTTTCGCTGGCTGCCGTCGTTTTCCGGCTTGGGGTGGGCTTGGCTTGCTCGCGACGCTTCGCGAGCGCAGGGCGCCTGGAGCACGCGACGGACGTAAAAATCGAGGTGGCCCAGGCACTCCACCGCATGGTCTTCCGGCCCCAACATCCGAGACGGGCCCCCGGGATCCAAGTCCGTCCATAGAGGCCTCCCAGATGCATCGGCATTACATCGGCAACGTCGGCACTGCATCAGCCATGCACCGCCGCCGATGCACCCGCGATGCGGCGCGATCCTCCGACCCCATCTACTCCGACCCCATCTGGGAGGCCTCGAGTACACAGCAGCAGAAGCTGGACGCTCCGCTCCGTCTCTGCGGAGGCCTCCGACGGGGGATTCACGATCCATGATATGGAGGCGAAAATGTTTTTCGAACGTTTGCGAGTAGGCACTTTGCGAGTAGTGGAACACACTCGGTGAGCACACAGCAGCGGATGCCGGAGGCACCCCCGACGGGAGCGGGGGCGGCCGCCCGCCCCCCGGGCACGCCCGCCCCCCAGGCACGGGGCAGCGGCGGCGCGCAAGGAGTGCGGCACGCCTGCCATGCGGCGGGGCGGGGCGACAGCGGGCCGCGGCCGCGGCCGCCAGCGGGCCCCCCGCGCCCACTGCCAGCCCGCAGCGACGAGGATCGCGAGCGGGGAGGATCAGGAGGTCGGGCTGTGGCCTCCGCCCCAGTCGACGATGAGGGGCCCACTGGAATGACCGCGGGGGGCCCCAGCGCACTCTGCCAGAGGAGCACAGCAGCAGGCACACGCGCAGCAGCACTGCACAATTCAGCCTCCTCCTCCTCCCTCCTCCTCCTCCTCCTCCTCCTCCTCCTCCTCCTCCTCCTCCTTCCCCTCATCATCATCATCATCATCATCATCATCATCATCATCATCATCATCATCATCATCATCATCATCATCATCACCACCATCATCATCACCACCATCATCATCATCATCATCACCACCACCATCCTCACCATCATCGTCATCATCAGCAGCATCATCATCATCATCATCATCACCACCACCACCATCCTCACCATCATCGTCATCATCAGCAGCATCATCAACATCAGCATCATCCTCATCATCGTCGTCCTCATCACCACCACCTACAACAACGACACCAACAACAACAACAAGAACAACAACGACAACGACAACAACAACGACCACAACCACAACCACTACAACAACAAAAACAATGACAATAACAACCACAACAACAACCACAACAACAACAGTCACAACAACAACAACGCCATCATCATCAGCATCAGCATCATCATCATCATCGTCGTCGTCATCATCATATCATCAGCACCGACATCATCATCATCATCATCATCATCAGCATCATCATCGTCATCATGATCATCATCATCATCATCACCACCACCACCATCATCACCACCACCACCACCATCATCATCATCATCATCATCAGCAGCAGCAGCATCATCATCATAAACATCAGCATCATCATCATCGTCATCATCATCACCACCATCATCATCAGCAGCAGCATCATCACCACCATCCTCATCAGCATCATCACCACCATCCTCATCATCATCGGAATCATCATCATCGTCATAGTAATCATCACCACCACCCTCATCATCCTCATCATCATCACCACCATCCTCATCATCATCATCCTCATCATCAGCATCATCATCCTCATCATCATCATCATCATCATCATCATCACCATCAGCATCATCATCATCACCATCATCATCGTCATTATCATCATCATCATCATCATCATCATCATCATCATCATCATCGTCATCATCATCATCATCATCATAAACATCATCAGCATCATCCTCATCATCATCACCCTCATCATCATCAACACCACCATCAGCAGCAACATCATCATCACCATCCTCATCATCACCACCACCGTCATCATCATCGTCATCATCATCGTCATCAGCATCATCATCATCATCGTCGTCATCATCATAATCCTCGTCATCATCATGACCACCACCACCAACTTCATCATCAGCAGCATCATCACCACCATCCTCATCATTATCATCACCACCATCCTCATCATCATCATCATCACCGCCATCATCAGCATCATTATCATCATCATCAGCATCATCAGCATCATCATCACAACCAGCATCATCATCATCATCAGCATCATCATCACCACCACCATCATCATCAGCATCATCAGCATCATCATCATCATTATCAGCAGCAGCAGCAGCATTATCATCATCATCATCATCATCATCATCATCATCATCATCATCATCATCATCATCATCATCATCATCATCATCATCATCATCATCATCATCATCGCCACCATCACGACCATCATCATCGTCATCGTCATCATCATCATCGGGGCCCCCCGCGCCCGCTGCCGGAGAAGGCCAGCTGGCGGCCCGCAGCGGGCAAGACCACGAGCGGCGAACAAATCCGTACCCGCGCCCTCGCGGTCCGGATTCCGGGGCGCGAGCCAACGGACTCGCGGTCGCACGGTTACGTTCGGCGCGGGGCGCCGCGAAAAAGACGCCCCGCATCCGCGGGGTCGCAGCCCAGGTGCCCGGCACGCGAGGCCGCGGATACGGATATGTTTTTCGCCCACGAAGGGAGGGGATTGTTTGTTCAACGCGGGGCTTGGGGTTCACCGTGCTGCGACCACACGGGCCTGGAACGGGCGGCGCGTATACCGCTTACGCCACCGCCCAGACCTTACGATAAAAAGGCAGGCACTCTTTCTTGCGGGAAAAACGACCCGCGCAGGATGCCTGTACCTCCTGACGTCCAGGGGGCTCTTCTGGCGGGCTCCACGAGGGGAGGGGGAGGGGGGAGGGGACGAGCCCCGAGAGCCTGGCGTCTGAACTCTTGCGAGCCAGGCGGCTTCGCCTGGCTTTGAGACCCGGGAGCCTCGCAGACCGATCTGGCCTGCAAGATTGCGCAGCAAAGATGGGGTCTAGGGCTCTGGCCGTGATTTTCCAAAGTGAGGAGGGGGAGGGGGGGACTACCTACCAGACCACCCCAACCCAACCCGAAGATCCGAATTTGACCCGAATTTCGAGTTGGGGGGGGGTACGGGTTCCAAGTGTTTTTGCAATGTTCCCCGACCCCCCCCCGCTGGAATTGGAGGGCAAATTGAGGCCTTCGGGTTGGGCTGGGGTGGTTTGGTGGGTGGTGAGGGGGGAGGTGAGGAGTCCTGAGATCTGTCGTCTGACATTGCCCCTGACGATGCCCCTGACCCGTCCTTCTGATGTGGGCGTCGCAGTCCCTGCACGACGAGCGTCCTTGCCCAGCCTCGTGCCCTGGAGCCTGGCCCTGGCGGGTCGCCCCGGCCCGAAAGATTTGCGGCCTGAGAACGGGGCCGCCAAGGGCGCCCGCCATGACTGCTCGCGATGCTCTGGCCCTGTCGCGACACGGGATCTCTGGGATGTCCTCCCCCCGCTCACTCCGAGCCCACTCCGACTCCCATGCCTCCGCGCTCAACCCCTGTCGGCTACACGTAAGAGTGACCCTGGGTAAGAATGACCTTTGGTGCGCAGCTTTTGGGGGCGCGAGGGAGCCAAACCCAGGGGGCGGGCCGCTTATATCGCATCACGCTCGGCGATAGGGGGAGCCCGATGGGCCCGCACCAAAGGTCACTCCGGCGAAGGGTAACTCTTACGTGTAGTCGACCCTGTCCCTGTCCTCCCCGCTCATTCCCGTCTTCCACCAGGTTCGTTCCGTAGCGGTTTGGAACGTGCCTGTCTGGGGAGGAAATCGTGCACAGGGGAAGGGAAAAGGTGTGGGACAGTACACGAAAGCAGGCGTCACTCCTCTGGAGGCGCCTCGATCACAGCTCCGCTCAAAGGTGGAAGAGAAGTGGAGGGGGAACTTGTGGCTCAGGCCAGCTTCGTTGAGACTTCTCTCCCTCCGTCTCTCCCAGCCCACTCCCCCCGTTCCCCCCTGTGCCACTTCTCCATCTTCTCCTTCCTGCTTGGAAACGCCCTCCATCCGGCGATTGGCAAACCTTGAGTCTCGGGGTCTTCATCTCCATTACTAGTAGCATCTTCAACCCAAGCAGCACCATCAGAACAAGCCGGCTGCACTATGAGCGTTAAGACGCCGGCTCTTCCCGAGGAACCCCCCCTCCCTCCGCGCACACCCCTCCGCATTGGGTCCGGACGGGCCTTCGATGGCCTCAAAAGTGATACAGGATGGCCCAGCTTGGCTCGAGATGGTCAGCAGCATGCCTCCAAGATGCGCCAGGATCACAATGAGACGGCTCGAGTTGGCCACGGAATCTCCATGAATGACCCCGAGAAACCAGAATCGTCAAAACAAGTCGTATCGATGTGATTTGCCTTTTCGCTTCCGATGTGCATCTGAGCCTCCGAGGCCTCAAGGTGCCCAAAAAAATGGCTCGAGAGAGACCCAAGAGAAGCCCAGAGAAACCCAAAGGGGGTCCCAAAAGGTCCTCAGGCGCACCTCCAGAACCCCACGAGAGCCCGAAGAGAACCCCAAGAGAGCCCCAAGAGACGATTGTCAGGCTCAAGGGGAGCAAGGCCAACTCAGGGAACCTCTTTCTGGCCGATGGCCCCCTGGTTATCCAGAGAACACCCGAGAGGCTCCCGAGACGACCCCGAGAGAGCGCCGAGCCTCACGATTGATCCAACACGCCCTCAGGAGAAACCAAGAGGTCAACCTATGAGTTGGCTCGCCCTCCACGTCTCACCGCATCCGGCTCCCGAGCAGACAACAACAACAACAATAACAACAACAACAACAACAACAACAACAACAACAACAACAACAACGACAACGACAACAACAACAACAATAACAACAACGACAACAACAACAACAACAACAACAACAACAACAACAGCAACAACAGCAAAAACAACAACAACAACAACAACAACAACAACAACAACAACAACAACAATCATTTTACCCGAACGCGTGGTGTTCTCCCCAGTGCCAGGGTTTTCATACGACACCAGGCAATACCCCCACTTCGTGGGGGGGCATTACAAGCTCTACCAAATATCCAAACGACTCTTCGCGACCACCCAAACCCAGCTTCCCGCCCTATGACGTTGGGACACTTCACTTCGTGGCGTGCGGACGACCGTGGCTACTACACTGGCGTGGGGTACACACCCACAGAACCCAATGGTTTTTGGAGATTTCGGCGTGCGCGCGCGAAGAAAAAACGAATGTGTCCCGCATGGTATTATTTGACAGGGATGATGGCCCTGGCAGGTGCGCAACCGTTGTCGCAGAAGTTCGAAAAAGTTGCTCGCAAAAGCCCGTTTGACAGAAATGTTTAAAAAGTGTTGGGTTTCCTACGAATCCGCAAGAGCGCGCGGGATGAGATTTTGACATTTTTTTGTTGAAAAACCATTGGTTTTTTGATGTTTTTATGTTAAAATCGCTCCGAACACTAAGCTTTTGGAAGGATTTCGTCTTGCGCGCGCGAATGTCCACTTTACCTTATTTTTTGCAAGGGATTCTTGAAATTTGATTATATTAGAACAAGAAATGTCATTTTATAGTGTTTTTTGCAAGGGAAAACGGATTACAACAAAACAACCGGATCTTGATCAACTCGAATTACCTG